GGTCTTATGAGAGACATCCGGTTATCTGGTCTGACCCCCACCCTTCGAGTACCTGTATCTGAATTCCTTGCTCAGGGGCAGAAAAACCAGTTATTTTGCAGTGCAGGCTCCTATAAAGCGGATCTGAAAAAGGTTATCTAGACCTGTTCCTTGAAAAACAAGTTATTTTGCAATGCAGGTTCCTATTAAGCTAAGCTAAATTAATTCTGGTGGTAGTCCATTTTGGGGCCTGTCCCTTACAACCAATATTAATGAATATAAAGTAATATTGCCTTAATAGCATGTCCTCAATAAATTTGTATTGATCCTAGTTAGGGGCAGGAACATAAATGATACTTTTAAAAAATATTTTCTGGAATTCAGTCTTTATAGTTTTATATATCTAAGTTATAGATTTTATAACTATGAAAGACAAATTTTTGTGTGATATTTAATGTTTTGTTAGCTGATAACAAGCCCAATTTTATTTGTACTGGTAATGTACCTAGCTATAAAAAATAGTATACCCAAATCACTAACTCAACACCATGGAAATCATGAGACCTAAATTACATCCACCATACCTCCTGTCAAGGTGTCAGGTGGGGAACTAGAGGTTGGGGGTAGGAAGGGAGCAAGGGAACTCTGGTGGAGGGAAGATGAAACCGGTGATAGGATTGGAGTTTCAATATTGTATGCTTAATGCTATTAATAGCTTTCTTAATCATGTCTATTTAATTAAAATTTGAAAATAAAAATTAAGAGCAGGTGCGATAGTACAGTGGGTAGGGAGTTCCCCGACATTCCATATGGTCCCCTGAGCATTGCCAGGTGTAATCCCTGAGCATTGCTGGGTGTGACCCCTGTTAGGATGCAGATCATGATCTCCCTTTAACAACAAAGAGACTCCAGAGACTGCAAACAGCAAGCAAGGTTTTTTGTAAGACTGGCTAGCCAGGGTCAAGCCACCTACACAGACAAGCAGGTCAGATAGGTGAGGCAAGACCCTGAACGTCTTCAAAGGGGATCTTATATAGGCCTTCACTGCAAAGTCTGCGCATTTCATAGCCAATAGATTTGCAACAACATATACTTTCTTAACCAATCCATTTCAAAGTACATCACTCCTTAGCCTATAGATTCAAAGATCAGCATTTAGTTACATAGGCATTGTGGCTAGTGGGCATCTGGTAACTCTGACATTTGGCTATCACCTGGCTCCCTTTGATTTGGTGGAAGTGGATAAGGGAAAAGTTCCTAACAGAAGTAATAGATAAGGAAGGACCATCCAAACAGGGAAGAGTCAACAAATGGTTTCAGAATTTGCATCCCAATAAGGAATGGTTTCACTCTAAAGCTCTACTAGGGAGGGGGCAGGAAAGGGAGAGTTACTAATTAGTAGAGTTTTAACTCTGGAATCTCCCTCAGGGTCCCTAGGGAACTTACAACCCCCAAAACGTAAAATAAATAAATAGCTAAGTAAAATGATGGGACTAAAACAAATTAAGAAAAATAGTAGAAGGCAAAACAAAACATTTTCCTAGAGTTCCTTGCACCTAGGTGTGATGTAGGCTCTAGAGTAGAGGCTTCCCCATTTACTTGAGCTACTGCTTTCTTTCCAGCACACATGATTGCTCCACACCTTCTCTAAGGGAACAAAGAAAACAGTGACTCCCAGTTGCATTGGAGGATACTATTAGCCCCTCCCCTCTCCACACCTGTTTCAGTGATGTCCCCGGGGCATTTTGGGAAACTCTTCTCTAGACAGTGCATTCTTTACAAATATTTGTTGTCTCTTTTTGACAAATGTCAGGGTTTACATGTATGCAGTGGCCCTGCTTCCTCATCCCCTCATATTTCTGGAAATCCAGTCCACGGGGCTAGAGAGAGGAACCACTGGGATGGCAGACACACACTAAAGGTGGAAGACAGGGACAAATATAATACAGGGTATCTGTGAACTTTCATACTTATAACTTTATTCTTGTCAAAGAAAAATTAATACATATTATTTAAGCCACTCAAATTGACTATAATTATATATATAAAGGAAAACAAAGTGCAGTAGAGCAAGAGAGGGGAAAAGAACATCTTCTGTTTAACATTCATTCACCCCCCACTTCCATCTCCTCCTCCCCACAAAGAAGAAAAATAAAACAACGAAAGAATAAATGTGAGTTATAAGGAAGGATGTGCAAAATGAGTGAAATTTATAGGCAGCACATTATCCTGATTATGGACAAGGTTTTTAAGTTTAATATGTATATGCCAACTGGACAACCTCTCTTATGCTTAACCTAAAAAAGCACTTCGTTTTTAAGGCTCAGTCACTTTTTCTGTAAAAAATGGAAACCATATTAATACTAGTTCACATTTGTTGATCTCTTGATACATACAAAAGGATGCTTGTATATAGTAAGTCTCATGAAGTCTGGACCAATGAGTTAGACTCATTTCTGGTTTTCTTGTCAAAAAATAAAAGCTAAAAAATGTTGATTTTTTTCTATTTTTTTATTTTCGGGCCAACACATGTTGATGCTCAGGGATCAATTCTACCTCTTCACTCAGGGGTGACTCCTGGTGATGCTTGGAGGATAATATAGATTTCTGGAGTCAAACCTGGGTCAGCTCTGTGTAAGTCAGCCAACCTACCTATGGTTCTATTGCTTCAGCCTCACCTCAGATTTTTTTTTTAAATGAACAACTTAAGATCACAAATAATAGTACCATTTACTCATGAATGAGGAGCAGACAAGATAATGTGGAAAATTAAGCACAATCAGAGACTATAAAACCCAGCTCCCAGAAGCGCACTCCCAGAAGCGTGCAGCCACATTCGCGGCCACGTGACATCTTATTATCTCATTCCTTCTTTGGACAAACTGGCAGGCTACCGAATGTAACGTGCCCACATGGCAGAGTCTGGCAAACTCCCCGTGGCGTACCCAATATGCCAAATACCAGTAACAATGATGGTTCTCATTCTCCTAACTCTGAAAGAGCCTTGAATATGGCACTTTTTAAAAAATCTCAGGGCTAGGACGAAGGAGACGTTACTGGGGCCTGCTCGAGGCAATCAACGAATAACAGGATGGTCCTGATCGTGATCATGCTTATATTGGGAAGATGGTCAGACCAGATGGTCAGACTTCTTCGTCAAGATCATGAACGATCGGTTTGAGGCTCTTCATGTTCCCAGAGCGAAGAGATGCCATTGGGCTATACTAACACGTGACAGGGACAAATGGAGATGTTACTGGCGCCCTCTGGAGCAAATCGACGACTAATGGGAAGTTAAATGATTAAGTGATTAATAAATAATAAAATATTGTTATCTTTATCTCCACGTGAATGAAGAGAAAGTCATCTTGTAGTACAAGAAAGGCCAGAAGATAGTTAAACATGACATAGACTGTTAGTGAGAACAATAGGAGAGTATGAATCCTTAAGAAGGTCTGATCTAGGGTACAGTGGGAGATATGGCTGGGAACGATAAAGGAGAATGCTCCAAAGTGCTTTATAAACACTGCCCAAGAGGGGACAGCAATATTTGCCATCAGATCCCCTTGTTTACTGTCTACTGTGCACAACAAATAGCAGAGTGCAGGTGGCAGTCGAGTCTGCATGTGTGGCTTGGGTACCATGTGCATCCTTAATGTTGCTGTGTTTGCCCATAATTCACAGGTGTTTCTTTCTTCCCAGTGAATGAGGGTCAGATTTTGTAGAAAGTAATTCATTCTTGCCTTTTATTCCCCTGCCTGTAAAGGATTTAGATAACTCAGCAGCATCCTAAGAGATTTTTTAATTGAATGTCCCTTAAGTCATTAAATCCTCTGTCTCCCCCAGGTCCTCTACTCTGCAAGTTGCTCGATAGGAAGAAGTAATTCTTTTCTCTTATCCAAAAGTTGGACTCCGGGCATATCCAGGGGAAATGCCAGTTGACTAGTTGCCAGGACCGGGTGGTAATTAGCTAAGTGGTTGGCATAAACAGACCAAATGAGGATTTTTGTTGCCAAGGCTGCTCTTAGAAGTAACCTCAGGGTCTTGTACTCATGTAGGATGGTTTGGATGCAGGCATAAAGGGCCTTAAAGGAACTAAAATGCCCCAAGAAAACCCCAAACACCAAACATGTTATGAACCCAGGGATATATTACTTTTTTTCTGTTTTTCTGTACGGAGTGTGCTGCCTGACCCTTTCCTCCTCCTTTAGGTTCTCAAATTGAATTGAGTAGAAGTATTCTAGAAATATTTATAAAATTCCTTACTTGAGAAAGCTGTGACTGCTTCAATAACTGAATAACTAACAAATTCCTGTATCATAACTGAATCTAATAGCAAGAGTAGAGGGAGACTTTTACCTCACATTCCTTTCGTCTATGCTTTTCTTGCTGACCATAGCTTCATGATGCTTGGGACTTGTTCCAGCAAAGAAACCACAGGTGTCATTGACTAATTCAAAGACTCCTAAAAGGCTATTAACACAACACTGGACACTTAGACATCATGAATAGCTTGTTTGTTGTATGAGCAGATGTTGGCTCTTATGGACAAGTCAACTGTAAATGTTCTTAAGGAATAGCTCTATATATGATAGATTTGTGGATAAGAAGCTCTTACTCATGGAGATGTTACCAAATAGTCTCCAAGGAGACTGCTATATATTTTTGTTACTATTCCACAAAGTTTTTTTTACATCATCATTATCTTTGCTGCCCTTGAAATGGTAATGGGATTGTGGGTAGTAGTAACAACAGCAACAATTACAATGGTTTCTTGTGACTCTATGTGTTGTTCCATAGAAATGTTATTTTCCTCATTCCTTAGAACAATCCGAAGAAACAGTGTTCATAAAGAAACTTACTTAGAAGATACCTGAATGACTGTAGTTTAATTTTAAAAATCAACAACCATTGTTCAACTATTGTCACTCTGATTTCTTGTCATTTCTGTCATTGAACATACGTCATTGGTATTTGGGTTTGTGGATATTTGGTTGCCCCGATATTAAGAAAAGTGACTTTTGCTGTAGATCATGCAGATCTTGCTCATTTCCTCTTGTGGTTCTAGGTGCAATATCTGCAAACACAAGCCTCCAAAGAAGGGTTTGAGGCCTGTTTCTTGTATTGACTTCCCTAAGGAACTTGAATACAAAATATTTTAGTATACATTTTTTAAATTTATTTTTAGTGAAAAACCATGAGGTACAGGTGTACATTTAAAATTTTTTGTTCTTGGGTTTCGATTATACAATGATCAAATACCCATCCCTCCACCAGTGCCCATTTTCCACCACCATGGATAATATCCCTCCCACCCCCATCCCTCCCATCTCACCCTGCCTCTGTGGCAGGGCAATCCCTTGTGTTCTCTCTCTCCTTTTGAGTGTTGTGGTCTGCAAAAGAGGCTTTGAGTGGCAAACATGTTCAGTCCATAGTCTACTTTCAGCATGCATCTCCCCTCCTGGGAGGATCCTCCAAACACCCTTTATTTGGTGCTCCCTTCTCTATCTGAGCTGCCCTTTCCCCTAGAATGCCCGGCTGGCCTCTAAGCTATGGAGTAATCCTCCTGCTGTTGATCTCAGCTATTCTTGGGTATTAATCTCATATTTTGTTTCTTTATATTCCCCAGATGAATGCAATCTTTCTATGTCTATCCCTCTCTTTCTGACTCATTTCGCTTAGCACGATACTTTCCAAGTTGTACCACTTGTATATAAATTTCATGACTTCATCTTTTCTAACAGCTTCATAGTACTCCATTGTGTAGATGTACCAAAGTTTCTTTATCCAGTCATCTGTTCTTGGGCATTCAGGTTTCTTCCAGTTTCTGGCTATTGTAAAGAGTGCTGCAATGAACAAACAAGTGCAGATATCATTTCAACTATACATTTTTGCCTCTCTGGGATATATTCCCAGGAGTGGTATTGCTGGGTCAAATGGGAGCTCAATTTCTAATTTTTTGAGAATCGTCCATACTGTTTTCCAGAAGGGCTGAACCAGTAGACATTCCCACCAACAGTGAAAGAGTGTACCTTTCTCGCCACATCCGTGCCAGCATCGGTTGCTTTTGTTCTTTTGGATGTGGGCCAGTCTCTGAGGTGTGAGATGGTATCTCATTGTGGTTTTGATCTGCATCTCCCTGATAATTAATGATGTAGAAAATTTTCTCATGTGCATTTTTGCCATTTGGATTTCTTCTTTGAGAAAGTTTCTGTTCATTTCATTGCCCCATTTTTGGATGGGGTTGGATGTTTTCTTCTTGTGAAGTTCAACCAGTATTTTGTATATCCTTGATATCAACCCCTTGTCAGATGTGTGTTCGGCGAATATCCTTTCCCATTATGTAGACTGTCTTTGTATTTTGCTCACTGTTTCTTTGGAGGTGCAGAAGCTTCTTAGTATAAGAAGCTAGATAGTCCCATTTATCTATCTCTGTTTTGACTTGCTCGGCCAGTGGCGTGGCATCTTTGAAGATACCATTAGCTTCAATGTCATGGAGGGTTTTGCCAACTTTGTCTTCAATGTACCTTATGGTTTCTGGTCTGATGTTGAGGTCTTTAATCCATTTTGATCTTACTTTTGTACATGGTGTTAGGCAGAGTTCTGAGCCCACTTTTTTGCATGGAGTCGTCCAGTGATGCCAGCACAATTTGTTAAAGAGACTTTCCTTACTCCACTTCACATTACTTGCACCTTTATCAAAGATTAGATGATCATATAATTGAGGGGAGATGTCAGTGTATTCAACCCTGTTCCATTGGTCTGCAGTTCTGCCTTTGTTCCAGTACCACGCTGTTTTATTATTACTGCTTTGTAGTAGATTTTGAAGTTAGGGAGGTTGATTCCTCCCATTTTCTTTTTCCCAAGAATTGCTCTTGCTATTCGTGGGGGCTTATTGTTCCATATAAATTTCAGGAGTGTTTGCTCCATTTCTTTGAAGAATGTCATGGGTATCCTTATAGGGATTGCATTGAATTTATACAATGCTTTCGGTAGTGTTGCCATTTTGACAATGTTAAGTCTCCTGACCCATGAGCAGGGGATATCTTTCCATTTCCTCATGTCCTCTTTTATTTCCTGAAGTAGCGTTTTGTAGTTTTCTTTGTACAGGTCCTTTACTTCCTTAGTTAAGCTGATTCCTAGGTACTTGATTTTCTGGGGAACAATTGTGAACGGGATTGTTTTTTTTCATGTAGCTTTCTTCTCTCTCACTGTTTGCATATAGGAAAGCCATGGACTTTTGGTATTGATTTTATAGCCTGCAACTTTACTATACAAGTCTATTGTTTCTAGGAGTTTTTTGGTGGAGGTTATTTAATTCTCTAAGTATAGTATCATATCCTCTGCGAATAGTGAGAGCTTGATTTCTTCCTTTCCTACCTGAATGCCCTTAATATCTTTTTCTTGCCTAATCACTATTGCAAGTACTTCTAGTACTATATTGAACAGCAGTGGAGATAGTGGGCATCCTTGTCTCGTTCCTGATCTTAGAGGGAAGGCTCTCAGTTTTTCCCCATTGAGGATAAGGCTTGCTGTAGGCTTGTGGTAGATGGCTTTAACTATGTTGAGGAAAGTCCCCTCTATACCCATTTTGGCTAGGGCTTTCATCATAAAGCGGTGCTGGATCTTGTCAAATGCTTTCTCTGCATCTATTGATATGATCATATGCTTTTTATCTTTTCTTTTGTTGATATGATGGATTATGTTGATTGATTTCCGAATGTTAAACCATCCTTGCATCCCTGGGATGATTCCTACTTGGTCATGGTGTATGATCTTTTTGACGAGTAGTTGGATTCTATTTGCTAGTAGTTTGTTGAGGATCTTTGCATCTGTGTTCATCAGGGATATCGGCCTGTAATTCTTTTTCTTTGTGGTATCTCTGTCTGCTTTTGGTATCAGTGTGATGTTTGCTTCGTAGAAACTGTTCGGAAGTGTGATTGATATTTCAATTTCGTGGAAAAGTTTAAAAAGGATTGGGAGTAAGTCTTCTTTAAAGATTTGGAAGAATTCACTAGTGAATCCATCTCGGCCAGGACTTTTGTGCTTGGGGAGACTTTTTATTACCATTTCAATTTCCTTGATGGTGATAGGTCTGTTCAGGTATTCCAGGTCTTCTTTGTTCATCCTTGGGAGTCTGTAGGAGTCTAGGAATTTATCCATTTCCTCGAGGTTTTGATGTTCCATGGCATAAAACTTCTCAAAGTACTCCCTGAGGATCCTTTGAATTTCTGTAGTTTCTGTTGTAATGACCCCCTTTTAATTTCTGATTCCGTTTATTAGGGTTTTCTCTCTCCCTTTCTTTGTGAGTTTTGCTAGAGGCTTATCAATCTTGTTAATTTTCTCAAAGAACCAGCTCTTGGTTTCATTGATCTTTCGGATTGTTCCGAGAAACGAATCTCGGAACCCAAAGGCTTTTAGCAGAAATGCGTCCTGTTCCTGCAGTAGGTTACTGGGGCAGGGCCACTTCAGGTGGGAATAGGTTTTGTGCCTTTGCCTGTTCCCCTTGGTGGCCCAGTAAACTGCCATCCTCCAGAGGCCACTGGACAGTCAGGTTTGGGCCTGCAGTGATGAGACACGCAGGGCCTCACCAGATGGGGGTGGAACTGGCCCTTTCCTCCCACATCTCAGTGAGATCCTGAGTCGCCGCCTACAAATGGCCTCTCTGGCTCCTGATCAAGCTGATTAATGTCCATGATCCCAGAGACTCAGAAACAAATCTTGAAACCCAGCAGCTTGTGGCAGAAATGCGTCTGGACCACATACAAGGTAGCCACCACCTCAGAGCTTATTGGAAAGCCAGGTATGAGCAGGCGGTGACGGGGCAACTGCAGTCTCACGGGAAGGGGGACAATACCGGCTCGTCCTTCACACCCCATCGAGGTCACGAGTTGCCCCCCAACAAGCGGCTCTCTGGCATGTCCATGGCTCCAGAGGTAAAAGAACAATCCAGAGCCCAACAGCTTGCAGCAGAAAAGTGAATGGACCATACGTTAAACTACGGCACCATGCCTCCCCAGGAGGGAAAGGGTGTTGCTCCCTCCACCCTTTTCCCCACCCCCCGTGGCAGCAAGGTGGCTGCTGCCTCAGAGCTTATTGGAAAGCTAGGTATGACCCGGCAGTGACGGGGCAACTGCAACCTCATGGGAAGGGGGTGTTCCCAGCTCGTCCTTCAATCCCTACCAAGGTCACGAGTTGCACCCACAAGCAGCTCTCCATCACTGCCATAACACCAGACATACAGAAACCAATCTAATTATCTGGCTTTTTAAAGAAATCCATAATCATTATATAATTCTCATAACCAGCTATAGAAAACAAAGTATTTCATAATGCCTTTTCAGCAATTCTGATTGTTGGGGGTGGGGGAATTCTAAACAATAATGATGCATCTTTTGTCGAAATAATGAATGTACTCAATGTAGAGAAGAGTTAAGTGGAAATCATCTGCCTCACAGGCATTGGGAAGGGTGGGAGGGGGTATATTGGGGTTCTTGGTGGTGAAAAATGAGTACTGGTGAAGGGAGAGGTGTTTGATCATTGTATGATCAAACTTAAACCTGAAAGTTTAGTAACTTTTCCCACAGTGATTCAATAAATAAACATAAGAAGAAAAATAAATAAATAAAACTGAAAAAAAAGTAATGTGGAGTTCATGCCCAAATAAATCAGCTAATCAATGGTTGAATAAATAACAGTATTCCTACATTAAAAAAAGAGAGAGAAAAAATTATGGCAATTGAAAATGTTCTTAGTCCAGATAGTCTGCGATTAAATGTGTCCCTAATTATGATTCCCTGGACAAATGGCAGGACCTATACTTCCTTAGAGCCCCTCCCCCCATAATATTTTGGAGGGTGTGGGAGAAGCAGATTAGATCATGCTAGCAGTGTAAGGGACTACTCCTGACTCATGACCAGTGATCACTCATGGTGGTGCTCAGGGAACTATATGATTTATTCACATACTGGAACGTTATTAAGTGACAAAATGAAATGAAATATTTCCTCATGCTAAATATGGGTGAATCTTGAACATATGCTAATATACAAAAAACAAGTATATTATATGATTGTGTTTATATGAACATCAAATCCATAGAAATGATATAGATTTGTGATTTTTAATAGTGTGGGAAAATAAATCAAGTGACT